CACAGACATCGGTGCCACGAGATCTTATGGTGAAGGCCTCCAAGATTTCGCGAGCGATTTTTGTTGCGCCGCTTCCAACAATTCTTGTTTCGTCAAACTTTGGGTCACACTCGCATCGATCACAGTGTACTGCCAAGTGGCCAGACGAGGATTGCCTAGTTGGCGCAGAGTGCTCCCTGATTCTATCATTAATGCACCTCCCTGTCTGGCCAACATACACTCTCCCGCATGATAGGGGTATCTCATAGACGACTTCAGTGACGCAATCGCGGTACTCCGTCACGTGTCTCTTTTCGCAATCCCTTTCTGTCGCAGTGGCTTCACCTGAGCGCCCATTGATCCTTTTGCACAATGCAGAAAGTTTATTTGGCGCAGAAAAGACAACTGGAATGCCAAACCTATTGGCTACCTTCTTCAGGTTGTGGGATAGTCTGTGTATGTAGGGTAAGACCGCAAATCTGGCCGCCCTCCTTATGTTACCCTCACAATCCTCCCTGCTGTGCTTTTTTATCTTTTTTAACAAGGTCTCCGACACATCGCGAAGCACATTGGGAGGGAAACCCGCCGCCTCCAATCTGCTGAGCTGCGCGTGAAAGCTGGCGCTCATTCTATGCTTGCACGATTTTTTCAGCGAGGCCGCCAAGCAGGATCAAGAGGAGCTCCGGTGAAGCCACTGGGACAGAAAGGGATTGCAAAAAGAGACACGTGACGCAGTACCGTGATTGCGTCACTGAAGTCGTCTATGAGATACCCCTTTCATGCGGGAGAATGTATCTTGGCCAGGGGGGAGGTGCATTAATGATAGAATCAGGGAGCACTCTGCGTCAACTAGGCAATCCCCGTCTGGCCACTTGGCAGTACACTGTGATCGATGCGAGTGTGACCCAAAGTTTGACGAAACAAGAATTGTTGGAAGCGGCGCAACAAAAATCGCTCGCGAAATATTGGAGGCCTTCACCATAAGATCTCGTGGCACCGATGTCTGTGTCAGCGCCCCATCTTTATATATCTATCTGATAGGGAGTATACGTTCCTTCAATATGAACGTGTCACGTAGGAAAACGCGCCAGGCTTCGTTCTCTCTTTTTTCTTACCCATGCGCGCGTGTACATTGGGCATAGCTTGCGCTTCTGTGTTTTTCTAAAATAAAGTTCAGTTGAAAGTGCGCCTCGTCCTGTCTGCTTCTCTCCTTGTGTCCTCGTTGTTTTGACGCCTCACTTCAAGCAAATACAACTTCTGGTTGCGTTTCCAGGTGGTCTAGCTGTTGGTTTCGGTTTCTCTGCATAATCAAATTGACTGATCTGATTTGGGCGATGAGTGGATGGACATAGTTTAATATCGTTGGCACCAGCATCACTCCTCAGCTTACGCGCCTTCTGTCCGCTTAGAGCTCAGCTCGCAGCTCTCTTCTGTGAGATCATTCCGGCATAAGCGGTATCTCGATCTTGACGGGAACCCAGTCTCTACGCACGTCGATGATCCATTTCGCTCGTCACTGCACGTCTCGCGGAAAAGTGTGGAACGTCATGTCTTGGCTCGCATGTGCTGCCCGGTGGTTGCGGCACCCAACCGCGCAACAGAAATCTCATCCAACCAAGAAACAAGTCAAGCACAACAACAAAAACGAAGCACGCTGAGTCGTTCACTTGCGGGTAAACGGCGAGACAAGAATGCTTGCTTTGTGTTGTGTGACGTCAGAGCTCCAATGTTGCCACCGAAAGCAGCGTTTTCGCTAGAGTGCGATTGGAGCAGTATAAATTCAATTACTCATGCAGAGGAGCATATAAAATTCAGATTTTGCACGCACAATGTGTCTCGAGGCAATAACAGTGCTTTACAATTGTTTTCCCGAGCACAGAATTTGACCGGACAATCCCTTTAAGTGAGCCGGGAAACTTGTGGGGCGTGGGCTCGCCAGATGGCCACACGGCAACCTCAACGTCACTATACCCACCGACGGCTTGAGTGATGCAGGACTTTACTTGATATGCCCACGCTTAATTCGTGCTTCGTGATTTGTTCTTTGGCGTTCTTTTCTGCAGAGGAGACAGTAACATTGGCTGAAAAGCTATGTGGAGCGCAAGTTCGTCTGCTTCTTGCGAAAGGGTAGCAGTGACGTCAGAAGGAGGCCAGCTCCGATTGGCTCGAATTGGAAGGATAGTCGGTATCCCACAAGGCAGCTAACATTGAGGTCTACCCACGACCCTTTTAATCAGAGCCAATCAGAGCTCGCCGTCGTTCTTACGTTACCCTGGGCAAGAAGCAGACGAACTTGCGTTATGCAAACTAAGATGCCCGGGTCCCGTAAGACGGCAATGACCAGAATCGCCTCTGAATAACATTAAATGTTAATGAGGAGGAGGGGTCTTTGTTAAGCGGTTCTCTAAAGGCCCTGTCACACTGAGGCAACAGTTGGACAACTCTATCCGGCAACACGGGAAAGTCGTGTTGCCGGCGACCTTGTGACATTGCGGCGAAACCAACAGTCGGGCAAAATGTTACTGCCGCCGGGCAACCGTGTTGCCCGATTTGTTGTCCGACAACCCTGTCACACCGCGCTTACGGCGAGGACAACACGGGTACACTGTAACACGGGGAACACTCCGCCATCTTGATTGTTTACCTTCGTTCGCGTGCGGCGCGGAATCGCTGGAAATGTGACTCTACAAAGTGCTGGTGCGTTCGAAGGGCCGGGAATTACCCCGGTACGACATCAACCAGTGACTGCGATTAGAAGACTTGACACGGGGAGTATTTTCCGCTCTTTATTTTATCGAAATGTTCTTCATTCGCTGACAAAGCAGATAGCCCTATACTTCGTCTCACCCTACGATGGACTAAAGGCTACGAACCGCCAGATCCAATCACGAGCCGCTTAGACACTGCGTGGGATTTCGCTTCAATACACGTATCGGGGCCCGCGTCTCGGATTACTGATGGGAATGGGCGGACATTGGTTCGGATTAAGTAATGAGTGACTCAACAATTTTACATTGCAAAGAAAGCTACGACGTACAGGCCCCTTGCAGTGCCGAAGCTATAAAAATGACCCAGCGTTTTTGGATTCGGAGCATGACCCCCCCCCCCCCCCCCCGAGGTCACGTGACCCCCTTTTCCCAGGTCACGTACCCCCCGAAGTCACGTGACCCCCTCCCCCCAGGTCACGCGACCCCCTCCCCCCGAGGTCACGTAACCCCCCCCCCCCCCCCCCCCCCCCCCGGAGAAGGTTCAAGAATGGGGGAAGGAGGAGGATAAGGAGGTGAGGAGAAGGGAGGAGGGGTATACCTTCCCCTGAGTACGCTTCCCTCCTCCTCCTCAAGAGCTGTGCTCTAATTCGGCGTTACAGGGAGTTGTAAACGGCTTTCACTTTTTTTCCTCTGTTCCTTCTCTTCTTGTATCAACAGAAACATATAAGATTGCATTGACTGTAGTTTAATTTTTTTTTCTTCGAATCCCTGGCTTTGTGTTGTTTCTTTATATTGGGCATGCAACAAGGCAGCTTTCGTAGGGATCTTGATATGAACAAATTGTCTAAAGAACATTCTAAACATTTTACTTGCACCCCAAGCGGCCCACTAAAGTTTACTCAAGAGATCATCTAGGACATACTTACTCCTTCCGAACCCGAGAGACGATGCAAGATGGGTTGCATCCTTAGAGAATCTCAACTAACTCAAGATATAAATAAAAAAGAGCTAGTTTTTTCCCTGTAATTGACAAGTACAACTTACCCTTGTTGCTTTATTCCGCACATTTTCTTCTTATTTTGGTATGTCGTAAAGCAGTTCTAATTGCATCATCGCTAATGCAAGTATACTGGAGCATAGCAACGAAGGGTAAAGGAAAGGAGAAAGTGAGCGCCGGGAAAAGGACATTCTCGGGTTTCTCTCGTTTATTCTCCAGACACATGGAAGAGGTGCCGCGACTTGAAAACAAGTGACGACACTCGAGACAGCGAAGAGTGCCTATCATTGGCAGTCTTCATTACAGAGCTATTAAGAAGTCAATGAACGGCATAAACAGAAAGAAGAAATGGGAATCTCAAAGCGGCTTTCTTTTCTAGCTTTAAGCTCGCTTCAGAATCGTTATCTATATCTATCTATATATCCTTGGGATGTCAAAGAAATCCAGTCTTCGAATAACAATATAGAACCTTTTCTTATATGGTATATATTTTCGGCCCCCGTGTATGCCTATCTCCTTTTTGTTTGCTTTTTGCCTTTTTGTTTCCTGAAACTGGCTTTGTTTTTGTTTTTGTGTGTTATTTTTGTGTTCCCTTTATTCTATTTTTTTTATCATCCATGAACAACCTCCTTATACTGTCTCGAAGTCAGTTTTCTCTCTTTTTCTTTCTATCGTCTCCCTTTATCTCTCACTGAGATTTGGACTCTATCCCTGTTAACGTAGTCTCTAAACACGGGCTGTAGTCATGGACATCCCGAGATACGCAGGGCGTGGGTTTATTTGTCCACAAGCGCCTGGCATTGTGATTGGTTGTCCGGCCCTCTTATCCGCTAATGGCGCACTATCATTAGCTCCGACCTGTTAATAAGATGCACGGGATTCCCCACGCCTTGCATTTCTTAAGATGTCGGTGACTTTAGCCATATATCCTCTATACCAGGGGTGGCCAGGCTGACCCGGCCTGGGAGCCGCAAACAAAACCACCAAACTTCTAAGAGCCGCGGGGGGGGGGGGGGGGGGGGGCATATGTTTGTTTAGGGCTTTAGGGCAAGAGTTTGCCCCCCCCCCCCCCAAGAAACATATGCAATAAACCAAAAAATAGAAACAGTTCATTGAAGAGCGTGGCAGCTTTGTTTATTTCATTCATCTCGGCTGCGGGAACAGTGAATTACACTAATGAAGCGGTTGCTCATTGTGTGTCTGTGTTGGGCTTCCCCATTCGTAAAACAAGCCGCTTGAAGTTCGGCTCGAACGACGTCGTTGCGCTCCGGAGCAGCTCAGTCAGGTGGTAGCCCGTAAGAATCGCGCGCTGTTTTTTACTTCACCACTTTCATTGTTGAGAACACAGCCTCGCAGCAGTATGTTGATCCAAAAATGGAGAGAAGTTTCTGGCCCGCGAGCTTGACGTGGGGACACCTTGCTTCTGGCATCTGCCCCCAGAATACTGCAATTTTCTGAGACTGCGGGAACGTCTTCAGCCCTTCGTCTTCTTGTAGTTCAAGCAGTTCCAGTTCCAACGCTAATACATCTCCTGCCAAGTTTTTCATGGCTGGACAGTCGCCACTCAACACACCAACCATAAAAGGATTCATCAGAAGGGCAAAGCAAGGCTTGAGTTGGTGCTTATCTTTGAACCGGAAATGAAAGTCCCTCTCGAGTTCCTCGAGCTTTAGGAAATATTCCCTGAGCTTAGCATCGGTCAGCTCAAACTCGGGTTCTGCATCCAGCATGCTCTTCAGCCGCGGGAAGTGGATCAGGCGCTTGGTTTTCAGGTCTTTTTGAAAAAGTTTTAGCTTGTTTTGGAAGCTGAAGACTGTTTGGGCGAATTCCGATGCTATTTTTTCTTTCCCTTACAGCGACATGTTTAGAGTTTTAAGGTGCTGAACTACGCCAGTGAGGTAACCAAGATCAACACACCGACCTGCGTCATGAAGTTCAGGACATGGCTTCTCTTTCGCCTCCAGAAAAGCTTGAATTGGCTTCAGGAGATCCACAAACCCTGATAGTACGTTGCTCATTGACAGCCAGCGTACCGCACAAAAAAACGAAACGTCGTTGGGCGCTTCATGAAGTTCCAGTTATTCAAGGAAGTTGTGGAATTGCCGGTGGGTTTTTGCATTTGATCGTATGTAGTTGACGACTCGAAGGACGTTGCTTATAACGTCTTTGTAGCTGAAGTGCTTCGCCACCAGGTGCTCGCGATGGATAATGCAATGAAATGAGAGAAAATCTGGAATGCTGTGATCGCTCCGCAGAAGACCTACCAAGCCCACATTCTTACCAAGCATAGCAGGCGCACCATCAGTGGCAATAGCGACAAGTTTCTGCAGAGGAACGTCGAACCTCTCTAACGTTGCTAACAATGCATTCTTAATGTCTACACCGCGAGTGGTTTCCTTGAGGGCAACCATGTCCAGAAGCTCTTCTCTCACGCTTTCGTCGCATGAGACATAACGGACGAAGATTGCAAGCTGTGGCTTGTCTTGTATATCCATAGATTCATCAAGAGCTAAGCTGAATGCTTTGCAGCTATTTAGGCCCTCTTGAAGCTTGTCGACGACGTCGGCGCTTAGTTGTGAAAAGCGCCTTTCGATCGAATGTCGTGAAACTGGGACTTGATTGACCAACCTTTGAAGATTCTTGTTTTTTGGATCCAACAAGGCTTCACAAATTCTCCTTCCGAGTAAGCTCGCTTGGTGCGAGCAATGTTCCACGCGATTGCAAAGCTTGCTTCGGCTGCTACGTCAGATTCCTTGGTGAAGGTCTTCATCAAGGACTGCTGATTCTGAAGTCGCGATTTGAGCTGGGCCAGTTTGACTTTTCTCAACTCAGATGAAGCTGAATAGTCCCGAGAAAAGGTTTTGTGATTGGTCTCATAATGCCGTCTAACATTGCTTGCCTTGTGGTGCGAAATTGCTGCATTACAGATGAGGCTTAGGGGCTTACCGCTTTTCTCAGTGAAGGCGAAATCTTCCACCCACTCAAGAAGGAATGTCCGATGTTCATCTTCGTACTTGCGTTTCGTGTTGGACGTCATTGCGACGACGTCCGCAGAGCCTCGTCACAACTTCGCCAAGGGTGGTTAGACGTAGGCAAAAGTTAACTTCTTGTCTCGACAGACCAGGTAGAACACCGTAGAGGCAGCTCAAAAAATGATGACCTCCTCGCATGGAATGCTGACAGTCATTTAGAACTTTTTTATCTTCCGTATGCACATGACTGCTTTTCCAGTCGAAGCACGACCTTGATACAACAAACGTTTTGCCCTTCCATGCAAGTGTTTTAGACACGCCTTCACTAACCGCTGGCTAGTCATTCCTTATCCCCCTCGCCGAAAGTAGAACAAAGCATCCTGCGGGTCACAACTGTAAGCCGGTAAAAATAATGAGGATGTTCTCGGTCCTTTGTGAACTTGAACATAACATCCGTGACTAGTGGAAGCTATGAATGAGGTGAACCCGGGCTTCCGCGACCCTCAACAATAAACGATATGGGGGAAGATCCATTATCTAAAAGGGGCAAGTATCACCGGGAAGTGACAAAGGCCGCGAGACAGAACATTTCCTCGACCCCAAGCCAAAGTGCATGCATCGTTTGACAATCCCAGTCTCTGATGCATTTCCCCCTAGGGTCTAGCAAACGCTCTCAAACAATGAAAAGAATAGGATCTGTGGAAACATACGAGTGAAATGGGGTTCGACTGTACGTATGGTGGCACAAAACTGCCGAAATGCAAGCTAGCTGTTCTTTTTTTGTTTTTTTTTTTCTGAAATATATTTTTTTTTTTCCTGGGAATGGAGGAAAAAATGGAGGAAAAAATGGCGGGCGGGCGGGCCGGGGGGGGGGGGGGGGGGGCGGTTCCCTTACGAGGGATTTGCGAGCCGCACTTGGACCAGCAAAGAGCCGCATGCGGCTCGCGAGCCGCGGTTTGGCCACCCCTGCTCTGTACTATTAGCCCCGAGAGCGAGCACAAGCGTCGCTGCGGTCGCCGCGCCCGGATTGGGTGAGGTGTACTGTGACGTCAGGGGGAGTACTCCGCTCCGCGATCTCGCATCGGCTCGCCTCCCAGCACCGGTTTCCTGGTTTGGCGCTGTGTGCCGCAAGCTCTTCGAGGAGCTGGACTTCGTTTACCTGGTGTGCAAGACGTTGAGTTAGGCCGGTAATGACGTGCTTCCGTACATTTTATAAGCCTGCTTTTCTCTTTTACCTTTAAAATTGGGTTACAAATCCCGAAAGCTTTCGGCGGAGGCGATTCCGCCGATGAACCTCCCCGTCCGTCCACACGACACAAGGCAATCTTGCGAGGGGTCGGTGAAGCGATGGCGCAAGCGTTTTAGACGCTGGAATTCTGTTCCTTGCACGTTCATAATTTAAGACGATATTAGATCCCGCTTTCAAGGCATTTGAAGTGGCTTTTATATCTTGCAAATTAGCTCGCGACCCTGACTCTGCGCTGCCACTCTGCATGCGCTGGTTCGCAGATGTTTTAAAGGCCGTGCGTCTGATGATCTTGAAATTGCTCGTGGAACAGGGTTGTTCTACATAAATGTAGCTGCTTCGCAAATTTATATATAGTTTATACACGTATGCAGGCATATTTCTTAGAAGCTGCACAATTACTGGAAATTAGTTTGTATGGTAGCAGCAAAAACGGCCCAATCGCCCCCAGTTGTCTGTATGATATGTATTGAACTGCCAAACTATGCACGGCAATAGTGCCGTAATATGGAATGTTTATACTTTTTCCTGACATTCCTTATTCCAGCCTATTCCGAAAATACACCGTTTAGTTTGAATTGTCATTTCCAATTAAAAGAGAAACTGCTGCAGGTCCCCAAAAGCTTCCTCAGCCTCCAAACTCTCTACAGCTGGACTTTCTGACATCAGAGGAAGACAGGAGTAAAAGCGAGTATTCGAACGTCTGTCCAGTGGTAGATGAAGCATTAGCAGCAGAAAATGTGGAACCTGTGAAGGGCGACAGTCTGCGTGAAAAAAGCTTCTGGTATTTTAGCTTCAGGATAATTTGATTTAAGTAAAATCTCAATTATAGGGCTTAAGGGGCTAATAACGAGCTAGACACCTTCGCTTACGTTTGTTATACATTCCTTGAGGGTTGATATAACCAAGTCCACAAATACCACCCGTGTAGTCCCTTCAAATACTATCCGAATCCAGCAAAGTTCAAGTGCAAGCAATGTATACAATAAATGTTCCTTGCTTTTTTTTTCTTTTTTACTTTTCCTTTGCACTTAGGCTGTCTTACTTGTGATTCTTTCTTGATGGCCCAGACTTACATTTAACATGTTGCTCGAGCAGCATGCAGCTTTTCTGCTTTGGCGATATTGTTTAAAAACAGAGATACAAAAAAAAAATAGTATACATAACCTGCCAATTCATTCAGACCATTAGCAGCATTTACTGTGCGAGATGTAAATCTATAGTGATGCTCCTGCAATTGTGGCCATATTTCTTTATTTTCATATACCACTCCAATTCATGCGTCTCCTGCCTTGTCAACCATGCTTAAAATGTTGGTTGAAGTTTCGCCTGTAGCTACAGGTCATACCTCAATAAAGGTTCATATAAAAATTTACACTTCCTACGAAAAACACGCCAAAAAACTTAAATAGAAATGAGCGCGCCGTCAGCTAGCGTCTTCGCAGCCTCCACAGGGCGAGCGGGCCGAGTCGGGGAAAAATTCTCTCCTCGCCGTGACGTCACCCCGGTTCGCCGTAAGGGGGCGCCACGCGAACTTCTCGGGGCTAATAGGCTCTGTTATACTCCGACGTAACGCGCGCGCAAGCGAACGCTGGCCGAAGTCGGCTACGTTACGTCAGTCACGCCGCGCGCGACAAAAAATCGTCCTCTTTATACTCTGGCGGCCCTCGCGGCTCCCGCGGCGCGCGTCGGTGGGCCGCCGGCGCGGCGCATGCGCGGACTCTGACTACAAGGGCACGTTTCCTGCGAGAGTGCTCCACTTCCGGTTCCTTTTCGTTTCGAATAGCAGACGAAAATCCTCGCGCTTCTTGAGAGCCAAGTTCGAGCGATGGCGTGGACGTACTTGCACGACGAAAACTCGCGCTTGCACTGTCGGTGCACCGCCTGCGCCGCAAGCGTAGGCGGTCAATGTACATACGCTACATCTTTGACAAGCGCACGGTCTACGGTACTCAAGCTTCCTCGTGTCGTAGACACACAGGTGAGGACGAATTCCCTCGATCAGCTTCTCGACCGAACGAGTCCGATTCTTCAAACACGACTCCACACGGAGTGGTGCTCCCGTCGTCTGCTATTGTTCGTATTCGCCGCGCCTCCCGCGCGAGGGCTGCCGGGAGCCAGCGCGTGATGCATCCTGGTCCGGCGTCGCTGGCGCGGCCGGCGCGGAATATGGCATGCTCCATTTTGGCGTCGAGGCGGTCAGGCTGCGTCCAACGCCGCCGGTCGCGTCGGTTACGCCACGACGCCGGAGTATAGAGCGTCGGGTTTTCGCTGACGTGACGTCGCTGTGACGCGCTCGCACGCGCGCACGCGTTACGTCGGAGTATAACAGATTCTTTACAAAGCCTGGCAGTTCGACGACGGAGCCATAGAGTGCCCAGTCGCAGACTTGGAGCGCGAGGATCTGGCAGCACAGAGCATCAAAGAGCCATTTCTCGGGGAACCAGGACGTCAGCGCATAGCTTTTGCAGTGGCCAGGACCCGAAACATAGTTGTTCGCTTGGGAGAAGTGTGTTTTGGGCGTCTCGCCGCAGCGGGGCGCCAGTTACGTGGGTCACGTGACCAGCGGTTTACCTTATCCTCTCATCCGTTGACTGCCGCTCCACCTTTTCCATTTCGGCGGCCGCTTGTCGTGGGAATCTGCCAGGCTTTGTCAGTATATAGATGCTATGCATAGCAGACCTGTTGGCCTCGTTGAGTTAGAAACATTTATTTCAATCTCATGCATTAGAGGTGTCCCCAAATAAGCTACATTTGGGGAGGTGGTCATCAATATTAGCTGCAGAACATACTAATGACCCCAGAATGTGTTTTTGTTTTCGTTCGTTCGTTGTTCTACCCGCGAACAAGGGTTTATGTTGGTTACGTTACGGCAAATAGGCGACTAACTTCCTTAACAGACACGTAAGATAGAGGCTGCTGTAATAATCAAATAATCAAATTGTTCTTCACCTGACCGAAGCTAAAGTATAACCATAGCATATTATCCTCTGGGACTGTTTCTTTCGGCAATCTACACGACGAATGAAGAAAAACGCTTGACGATTTCAGGCGAAATCTACGGACGCTGGAAAAGTCGCTTTCCTAGCAGACTGTACACGCTTCTTAAAGAACAATTTTCATATGAACTGCAGACGAGCAAGATTTGCATCTCTCCAGAAGACTCTGGAGACCTTCTCATGGCTCTCGCAGTTTCGAACTACCCATTCGTGTAAAATTAAACAAAACATTTTATTTAGTGAGATTCAGCGATCGGTAAGGGCGCCGAGTATTAGCGTCACGTGCACACACGATCAACAGTTAGCTCCTGTGACAAACTACCTTTTTGCCACGCCGGAACAAAATTAAAGAAAATGAATGTATAGATCACCTTTTTTGGGCACGATATATTTTTACAGACGGCGAAGGAATTATCGAGTTAAGTCTAAGCTGGGGCACAGCTATGAGGTTTACATTTGCGTAATATCGCCAAGCAGTCTTCAGTTAACTTGGTGATTCAATGGTAGCTGAAATAGTCTCTTTTATATTATTGACTGCACGTTTAAATGTATGTAAACTTCCTCGAAATATCTTGTCTAATTACAAATAAAAATTCGAGAGGGTATAGAAAAAAGAAATGATTTGTATTCTGATTATTCCTCTGAGCATAAGGCGCAGGTTTCATTTTAAGCCGGATTGCTTAGTTTCTTGGAAACTAAAGTTTAATGTTCGTTGCTGTGGTCAATAGGGAATGTATAATATCCATCCTTCATTTGTCCGAAGATTTGTTCTGTTCATACACGTTTTTATTTTTGATAGCCCTGGTGAAAAAAGTCTTTT